GGCGCTCCCCTGTCGTCGTCAAAACAGATCCCACACCACCACCAGATTGAAAATTAATATTCTACACCATCACCGCACTAAATCTCAGTCATCACTCCACGATATTATACATGCCACGGGTTGACCACGGGGTGCACGTTGCAACAAACACACGAGGTTCTGACATGCGGAGACCGGGCCCAACACCTACCCTTGAATTGAAACCCCCTCCAACAACGAGGAAGTCCATCTGTTATACAGCAGTACATATTCCAGGGAAGCGTCTGTTCGTTTTCTATCATGGCTGTAGACGGGATACATACGCGATCCATTAAAAAACAGAAACACAAGACAGTCTGAAGGATGCAAAGCCGTGTATCACCACATACATGCAAGCGAGATGGACGGAAAATAAATAAATAAATAAACGCGGTAAACTTTTCCCTAAACCTTTCAAATGGGTACCGTAGTACGGTCAACAAACGGGTCACACACTCAATGAAGTAGTCTTATGTTGTAAATTGGTTTCGCGACGAGTTTCATCCACTAGTACCGTACCCACCAACACCACAAACGACACCACAACACCGACACCGATATCAGTACAACCCCCCACGCTAATCTTCAGTCGGCTAATTACTGTACAAGAGGCTAATTACTGTACAAGAAGAGAGATGGACTATAGTACTGCCGCAAGCGTGCGGGCCCTCCCCAGATGAGGCATCACGCCGAAGAAGAATCAGCAGCCTCGCTAGAGGGCGAGGCACCCGAGGAAGAGGCGGCCATGGCCTCCGCAGAGGGGACGGCGGCGGAGGGGGCACCAGCGGACACCGCGCCCCCTCCAGAGGATAAGGCGTTCAACGCCTCCTCAGAGGCGGCGGCGGCACTCCCCTCCCTCCACTAGATCCTGGAGACCCTCCGCGCCACGGAGGAAGTGGGAACCGGTTACCCGCGGTTCACATCGGTCCGCGCTAATCTGGCGCAAAAGGTGGCCATCAAGGCCCAAGCCACCGCCGCCACCGCCGCCGCCGCCGCCACCGCAGCAAACGTCACCAGCAAATTGTCCAAAGGCTGGCGATCG